TCACATTCAGAATAGTACGATTAGCAGTAGCACTTCAATTTTTTCATGTTTGATTAGCTTGCTAGGTGGTTATCACTAAGCATGTTGGAACGATGAGCATAACCTAACTTAGTTCAGTACGTGTTGCTGCAAATTAGTTCAGTACGTACGAAGCTGTTGCTAATTTCAATGCATGGCTGTTGCAAGTTTCTAATGAAAAAGTACTTCAGGTCAAAGGTCAGGGAATATACACTTTTGTTATCATGGTTGTTTCCTTATAGTGAACAACTTTGATCACCACTTCAGCAGCTACTATCTATAAGAAGACATTAGCTAAGTAGATACAGGCAAAGAAAGCATGTAGGCAAAACCAGAATTAAAAACATCCTTCTCAATGGAGCTCGTGCAGTTCGGAAGACCCTAATCATCGATGAGGGACCCCTCCGATGGTAGCATGGCGTGACAATTGCCGTCAATGACAACACCCAAAGTACCTTGCACAATCCATCGATCCAGTTCGGAATAATCAAGCACACACCTTGCAAAGTGATGTGGATCTGAAGCAGAGGTGGGAAGGTAAAGGCTCAGGTGAGGTGGAATGAGACGTTGATATAGACGTGCACGCATGAGAATAAGGTGGTGCCCAGGATGGATCTCCATCGGAGGAGGCCGGATCCGCTGGGGAGGAGGTCGCTGTAGTACCTGCCATCTGTGCGATGGATCATGGGGCTGGCAGGCAGGGGGAGGGGATAGGAGGGAGCGGGTGGGCTAGAGCGCAGATGGCGGGTGCCCCCGACGACAGCTGGGAAGGATGGTGGAGGAGGTGGATGAGGATGGCGGCGGCGGCGTCTGCGGTTGCGCCTCGTCCGCAGCCGTGCTGGTGGTGGTCGATGCGAGAGCCGGATGGCGTCGGCCAGAATCAGGCAGGGGCGACAAAGATTTAGAGGAGAGAGAGAATGGAGGCGATGAGCGATGGGAGGAAGGGCCACCGGCGATTGGGGTGGCCTCAGATCCGCCCTCCGTGGCCGCCTATTTCATGGGACGAACACCCGTGCTCACCGTCGGGCTCGCCTTCGGCCGCTGCCTCGCCGACATTCACGACGTAGAGCCCCTTCCTCCGATCCCATTTGCCAGAGAGGCAGCGCCATCCTTCATCGCAGAGAACGAGTCCACATTGAGATCCCAACCAGATCGTGATTCGCCTCCCCAAACCGCAGCGGCACATCCCACTCCATCAACGACCAACCTATATGAGGCGGAGGGTCAGTGTAGGACGCGAGCGCCGTCACCATGGACGTGGGACGCCGTAGGTGGGAAGGAGGCGGCGACGGCGTCTGTGTTAGGAAGATCGCACGACGGCGGCGACGTTTACTCGAGGGGATCGAGAGGAGCTGCGTTTGGTGCCGGGTGGGTTCTTTGGTGCGTGCGTGGGGCTGGAGATTGTGATAGGTGATCAGGTGAGGGCGTGCCATACCTGGATCGATAGCCTTACCATACCTGGTGGTAATTTAAATTTATTACCATATTCGATATTTCCTGAGTTATGGCCTTACCATACTTGGATTTATAGCCTTTGGGGTAATTTAAATTTATTACCATATAATTACCATATTCAAAATATCCTGAGTTATGACCTTACCATACCTGGATTGATTTATTACTATACGTGGATTAGTTATGATTTATTACTATATGATTTATTACTATACGTGGATAGCCTTACCATACCTGGTGGTAATTTAAATTTATTACCATATTCGATATTTCCCGAGTTATGGCCTTACCATACCTGGATTGATAGCCTTTGGGGTAATTTAAATTTATTACCATATAATTACCATATTTAAAATTTCCTGAGTTATGACCTTACCATACCTGGATTGATTTATTACTATACGTGGATTAATTATGATTTATTACTATATGATTTTATTACTATACGTGGATAGCCTTACCATACCTGGTGGTAATTTAAATTTATTACCATATTTGATATTTCCCGAGTTATGGCCTTACCATACCTGGATTGATAGCCTTTGGGGTAATTTAAATTTATTACCATATAATTACCATATTCAAAATATCCTGAGTTATGATCTTACCATACCTGGATTGATTTATTACTATACGTGGATTAATTATGATTGATTACCATAAATACGTTGGGTATTGCCCGTCAGACGAGAAAAGAGAAAAACCGGTGGGAGGGGCTGGTGGGAGGTGGGAGGAAGAAAAACCGGTTGAAAATAAACCGGTTGAAAATAAACCGGTTGAAAGTGGGGGGGACTATTCAACCAATTTGTCCATTAGGAGTAGAGACTAGCAGAGACCAGGCCAGCGGAAGGCACCGAGAAGGAGAAGAAAGGAAGGAGACAGGATAAGCAAGGTAAGAATCGCGAGAACAAAATCCTCTTTCGATTCAGTTGTCGATGGGGATGGGGGTGGGGGCTCATTCTTTCTGAAAAGGAAAACGTTTGGGGCCGGGGCACCGGCCGAAGCTTCGGCCGGTCCAGTCCACGCGCGCACGCCGCAACCCAGTCGCGAGCAACCACGTGGCGCTGCGGATCTCGCGAATCTCGCCTCATTCCTGTCTCGCAGCTCCGCGGATCTCGTCCCCATCCTCATCTCCTGCAGCGCCGGCGCCCACATCTCGCCGTCGGCCATGGAAGGTCGAATCCCCCGCGCGTCCATGGATGTCGATCTCACCCCGCCATGCTTTACAGCCCGTTTCGCCATTGGATGCAGCCCGTTGACCAATCCCCATCCCCGGCGGTTGCAACTCCCACACGTTTCGTGCTTCTGCCTCGCCGCCGACGAGCCGGACAGCGATGGTCGACACCGGAGGCTTCTGCAGAATCGTCGCACCCCCTCATGTTGCAACCGTTTAAAAAAAAGCTTCATCCCCTAGATGAAAAGCTTCAACCGGATGTAGAGAAAGCTACAAGCGGTCAGCGCCATCGCCGGAAAGCTACAACCGTTGACATGAAATGCTACATCCTTCGATTAAAAAAGCTTCAACCGAAACGACACAAAAAACCTTGACCAAGTGCTGCTAAAAAGAAAATAGCTACAACTTTTGGTAAAAAAGCTTCAACGGTTGTTGGAAAAAGCTCCCACCATTGAGAGAGAAAGCTACAACTAGACACTATGAAAATAAGAAAGCTTCAACCAGCGACGGCTGAAGGTGGAAGAAGATGATAAAATGCTGCAGTTTTGCTACATGCTTCAACCGGCATAGATTTTTGCTACAACTGGCATAGCATTTTGCTACAACTAGCGTCACGTTTTGCTACAACACACAGCCGGCGTCGCGGTTTTGCTACAACTAGCATCGTTTTTTGCTACAACCGGCATAATGTTTTGCTACATCCATCATGGCTGAGCTGCGACCCAGCACGGGTTTCCGTGAATTCTGGCGGCGAGATCCAGCACGGGGGGCAGGGGTGCATGCTGCAACCGGTCGCCGGCGAGCTGCTACGGGCTCGCGGCGAGCTGCAACCTCGACCGGCCGTAACGGAGCTCGAGCCCAAATCCATGGCGGCAAGGAGGTCATGACGTATGTAAGACATGATTGAAGCAATCCCAAGGCGGCTTGATAGGTGGGGGAGCTCCTCGTCGACGTGATTCGGCCGCGGGGAACGAATAACAGGCGGATCTAGCCACCGCCGCCGCGGATCGGGGACGGTCAGTCGCGGGGGATCCAACTCCCTGTTTTTCTTCTTGTGCCTGTTCGTACACGGTCGCAACAAAACTGTTCTTTTTTGCTGCAACGGTTGCTTCAGTCTGTGTATGCGCGCAGATCTAACGGTCCATGCAAACCGCATCGGACGGCTGGGCCTCGACCGGCCCAACTGTTGGGCCGGTGCGCCGGCGCAGATCGCTGCCCTTCTGAAAATCCTCTTTCTTCTGTTCCTCTGCTAGTGCTAAATAGGAGTAGCAGTAACTCGGATGATTTTGACCGTCCTTTCCTTGGCCAGTTGGCCTTGGCGTGATTCTGAATGCGACATCGCATTTCATTTTACTAGCAACATACATGCCGGTGACCAGCGCGGGGCGACGGCCGTGTCTGCACTGCACGTGCTCTCGATGGGGCCGAGGCAGCTCTCCAACACGCCGGAGAATCGGCCGCCGGCGAGGTGGTCTGTGCCGGAGAATCGGTTTTTCTTTTTCTTTCTTGCAGGTCAGCACGTCGAGCCGTCAGTTGGCAGAGGGGAGGCTCCATGGGCCATGGGGAAAAGGATAGGAGGCGGCGTGAGGTTGGCGAGCTGGGATGAGAGAACTCGGGTTCCTGGAGAAATCTCTTGTCCAATCCATGGCGAATCCTCTTCTCATCGATTAGTTGTGGCTTGAATCAAAGTTCCTTTCTTCTAATCAAACTAAAAAAGAAAGAAAGAATGAACCTCTCCCTAAACAAACCCTAGCCACCACACAGATCTCCTCCTCGCTGGCGGATTCAGTCGGTCTCCCTCGGCCCTGTGGCCAGTTCCACGTTGCGGCAGATGCTGGTTCTAGTGTCGGCGTTTATGTGGGATTGGGTCTCCTCGTCCTGTCTTCGCCTTCTTCTCCAGATTGATATATCGTGCCGTTCTTGTTCCCTGGCAATGTCCGGTTCCTTCCCGGTTGCAGTTACAGTGACTCCATGGCTATGGTGATTTGGAGCAGGTGATGTATCGAGCCAGGCTCAAGGCAAGCCATCAATATGTGCAGGTCGGGATAGGATGAGAAATTCCCCTTGGGCCGTTTGTAATCTTAGTCTTCTTCAAGGAGTCTTCTTGTAAAGCTTGGACTTGGTTAATATATAGCTTGTGCCCTTCCAAAACATGAAAAAGAATCAAGGTTTCAAATTCACATTGAGGAGTAATTTTTTTTTTCGAAAAGGAGGATTAGTATATAGCTTGTACATTGAGGAGTACATGAAATCAGTTCAAGTGCAAGTCTTCTTATTGTCCATGACTTAATGTCCTCTTACCACCAGCTATCACTCTAAATTAGTTTTGCACTGCAGAGGGGCTGCTAAAAGGATGGGCACGTCTTTTGGAAGCTCCAAGCTGCAGGATGAGCAATACTACAAGCATTTGGATGATGAAAGGAAGTATTTCTTAGTGCTTATGTTGGGTGATTTCCAAGATGCGATGGTAAGCCTGTTACCTACATGATGTTTCTACTATCTACTACTTTAGGTTGTGCGTTGCACTCAATTCCTTTGACAGGCAGACTATTAAGTTAGTTTACACCAATTTCCCACATAGTTTTTTTTGGGCAATTACAACTTTACAAGTAAGATCCAGAGTCATTGTCCTTGTTTTTTCTAAGATTAAGATACCGGTCAGGTAAGAGAAAGGCAAAGAGGACATACCTTGATTATAACTAGTGTCATTTGGATCTTGCGCATAGACTTTTCATCCACAAAATCTATTTTTCTGCAGATTTTTTTATAAAGGTAATATATTGATATCAAGATTTTTCTTTCTGCAGATAATCCCACAAGAAGTTGTGCGGCGTTTGAAAGGTGAGATCCCAGGAGAGATCAAGCTAGAAACCCGAAATAGTTATATTGTGGTTGCCAAGAACCAAGAAAAGCTTGTCCTTACAGTGGGTTGGCGGCAATTCATCGAAAACTATGATCTACAGATTGGTGATTCCTTAATGTTCAGATACAAAGGGAACTCCCAGTTTAATGTCATGATCTTTGATAAGCTTGGTCGTGAAAAAGCATTATCAGTTGTTCTGGATCCTTTTTTGCATCGGGTCCAAGACAGGCGCAACGAGGCACATGAAATCGGGTTAAATATTGAACTTCATTATTCACTGCTTTGTTTCCTGGTACCAAATTTCACTTGACATATATTTTGTACTGCAGGTCTTCTCAAAAGATGGATGTGCCTTGGGAAAGATGCAAGAGCCGGACTGAATATCACTACGCAAACTTGGATGATGAGAAGAAATATTTCTTGGTGCATATGATGGGCGATTTTCAACATGAGATGGTAAATTCATATTCAAATGCAGTAACACCCTTTTATCAGTTACTTTGTTGTTTTTCTGTATGCCAATGATTTTTGTACTTTCTAATTTAAATAATATGGAGATATATATTGCTTTAGAGGAGTACACCAACTATATGTAGTCTTTGCAACTTTTGGTTATGTCTCATGTTAATTTGATGCCTGGATTGAATCCAGCATGGTAGCACGTTTAGTAATGTTTGTTCACAAAAAGTGTCCTCATCATTTAAAGTAAAGATATGCTTTAGGCATTCACGTTGTTACTAAGATACTAGTCTTATTCATTTCCCTTGGTATGTCAGATATATTGAACAGATAGATTTGCTTTGATTATAGAGAGTATCTTTTTCATTGTGTTTACGGTCCATTTTTCAAACAAAAATATTGCTTGTTTCTCTCCAGATCATCCTAGAAGTATTTGTTCAGCGTTTCAAGTGCGAATTCCCAAGAGAGATGATACTTGAAACACAAAATTGCCACAGTTACGTAATTGGAGTTGCGAAGAACAATGGAAATCTTGTCCTTACAGTGGGATGGGGGAAATTTGTTGGGATCTTTGGTCTAGAGATGGGTGACACCATAATATTAAGATACATTGGGAACTCCCGGTTTAATGTCATAATCTTTGATGAACTTGGTTGTGAGAAGGTATCATCAGTTTTTGTGGATCCTTCTCCGCCTCCTGTGCAAGAAAGGCGAACAAGTGCTACTGATACTGTGAAAAGTTCTCATTTTCGTCCTCAGGCCATACAAACGCAGGCATTTAGCATAAGGAAAGAGATGCCAATGGAGTCACGACACCTCCAAATGGAAACGGACAAGTCATGTCAAGACAAGAACACCGTGATAAGTACTTCCTCCTGCGAGTCATCAGGTCCCAGTTTACTATTGTAGCTAATATTTAGCTCTATTTCTTGGCACAGGATATTGTTTCTCATATTTTTATAGCTAATATTTAGCTCTATTTCTTGGCACAGGAGATTGTTTCTCCTCTGAAGAAGAATATGGAGTACGTGAAGATGAAGAAGAATATGGAGTACGTGAAGTTCCCGGTTCCAATTTCACCGTGAGGAAGAAGAAGGTCAGGCTATCTTCAATTCAGAAGGAGCAGTTGAAGGATGGTTACATTACCGTGAACAAGACCAAACTAACTCCAGCTCAGAAGAAAGTTGTGAAGCATAAGGTCCAGTCCATAGACTCAGAGATCCCCATCTTTGCTGCGCAAGTCTAACCTTAATTCAAGATTCAATCTGGTGAGTTCCATTTTGTTAATGTGTGTCCTGCATCGATCATGTAGCTGTCTATGTAAACTATAAAGTGCTTCTTATGGAATATTAATGAGAACACTATCTCATAATGCAAATTCATAACCAGTCATCTCTGAATTTAAATACAGATTGAAGATTGCTTCCTAATATCGTACAAATTTAGGAAGCGCAATTTAACATGTTATTTTACAGAGTTTTCTTGCCATTATCTGCTAACTTTGTTGACTGTAAACAGACTTTTCCCAGACACTATGCTAAGAAATATCTCAGAGAGGAGCCAAGCATGTGTCTTCGGCGGCGGGAAAGGGAGTGGGGGGTGCCGTTCGGTGAAAACAATGGCGGTAATAAGCTCAGGATCGGATGGGAACAGTTTGTAGAAGGCAACTAGCTGAAGATGGGTGATGTTTGCCTCTTTAAACTGTTGACCGATGAGAGGAGAACCATGATGGTCTTTATCATCCGTGCGAAATTTGTCAATTACTGGGCACGTCTCCAGAATGATGCTGAACGGGAAGCGGCGTTCCGGAGAGGGGCTCTTGCTCATCAGGCTGATGCAGCGCGTGATCCTGGCTCAAGGTTGCTTCACATCGCTAAAACTGAAGCTATGGAGGACGATGTTGTTGCCCTTGATGGTGCCTGATCGCTCAAGGAAAAATCTGGCGTGGTGTGGGGGAAACGAGCGATCCTGTCGATCGTAAGGCCCCGGTTACATTATATAGTGGTAGAAACTTGAAACTGTTGTGGTGCTCGATCTACCTCTGTAATTTGCTCGTTATCTTCACAGGCCTGGAACTCCTCTGGCTGTAGTTTTTAGCTGCCTTTTAGTTTGCTGTTGCACCTCTGGATGCTGCTTTTTTTTTTTGAACGGTCACCGGGGGGGAGAGATTCCCCACCTGAATATATTGCTCAAAGTGGCCAAAATGCCAAGTGTTTGATCCAGTTTATAAGGAAAACCGGATCGAAAACCTTAACAGGTTGACCCCGTTTATAAGGGAAACCGGGCCGAAAAACCACACAGGGGGAAAAGATTACATAGGGTGAGCATATGGACGCCCCGAAGAAGGCACTACCTAGCCAGCAAGCCAAGAGACCACCATCATAAAAGTCGAGTGGAAGTGGTGTGTCATCGAGGAAACACAATACCAACACTAAACAACTATCCTAACGCACCACACCTGCGTGCATACCAATCCCTTGGCACAACAGAGGAGCAGAACCAATCAACGAGTGACCCATCACGAACCTTAACTGGAAACTCCGCCACAGCAAGCCGACACGATTAGCAAGGTGGGGAGGCATCGTTGCGTCGTTGTTGAGCAAAGATGAACCGAGTAGCACGAAGAGCACGAAGCTCACCAAAACGGACGACAGGCATGAGAGGGTTTTGAGCTAGCAGAGCAGAGGATGACCAACCCCCAAGGGCAAAGGAGGATGAATGGCGGCAAGGAGCTCCCTAGTGACGCCTTCAAGAAGGTGGACGACATCCGAGGATGACACCGTCACAGAGCTTTCGCCTGGAGCATAACCGGTTAAATTCCCCGAGGGCAGAGCCGAGAGCTGCGAATCCGGACCGAGAGACAGGAATGGCACATGAGCCACGCCCCCAAGGGGGTAAGCGACGCTGGAGTAGCGCCGCCGTGGTCAGCTGACAAGGTTAGCGGGGATTTCTCCCGTAGCACATCCGTCAATGGTGGGCCGCCATCCAAGTGGAGTCGAAGGGCGACAGAGGACAGGACCAAGACCGACATATGAGGCGGATGGTGAACCGAGGAAGGACGAGTGGAGCAGGCCGCCGGTGAGGAGGGTGGAGACGAGGTGGGGCGGCGTCGGAGGTGGACAGAGGGCCAGGGCACGTGGATGTTCTTTCCGGCAGGGACTGGCAGTGGCGGGGACGGGGAGGGCGAGCGGGGTGGAGGCGCAGGACGGGATGTCGATGTAGAGGGGGGGGGGGGACGCCGGTGCCGGATCTGCGGCCGCCCGGCTTTGGTCGCACAGGAGGACGGGGTCGAGGAGGATCCGTGGGCGCGAGGCACATGGATCTGAGCAGGGGAGGCCCCAGATCCGACCCCAGCGCCCGCCACGGGAAGACCACGATGACATGCAGGCCACGGCGCAGCCAGCACCACCACGCGCCACGGACGACGCCCCGAGCCGTCACCTCCGCGCCAGAGGGGAAGCCGCCGCCGCCCGCCTGCCTCCGAGCGGCGAGATCCCGCACAGCCCGTCGCTCTCCTCTGGCAACGAGACGGCTGCGAGGAGCAGCAGAAGTGCCCCGCCGCCACCTTCCCTGGAGTGCGTGTGGCCTTCGCCGGCGCCCCCTCGAGTGGCGGCGAGACGTGAGGGAGGTGGGATGGGGGAGCGCGGCGGCGCGACGAGGGGTCCCCCGTGTCCCTCTTGAGAGAATGGTCCGGATGCTGCTTTTGTGGTCGCGGTTTATTTCGACCCGGTCCTTCATGGCCGTTTGGAAAGCAATGGATGTCAACATGCTTCTGATGAATTCTGATGTTGCGGAATTCCTTGAGAAAAGTGGACTGGTAATGTTTTCTTGTTGGTGGCAGCGCGCATTTTTGTTGTTGGCCGCGCTAGAGCGCCACCGTCCAGCAAGCAACAGGAGACAGACAGGATGCAGCTCTCGAATACGCAACATCAGCATGTTGCCCGGATGGGCGGTGGCATGTCGAGGCAAGATTTGCTCGACCTCTACCATGGCAAGATTCAACTATAGTTTAGGTTTAAATTTAGATTTATGTATAAACTTCTTGCCAAGATTGGGTTGAAGCCATGTTGAAACTAGGTTGAACTTATGTTCAACTTTATGCAAATTTCTGTTGAAGCTATGTTGAAACTAGGTTGAATTTTTGCAAATTTATTTTTACTTAGTTATATACTTCCTCCTTTCGGTTTATAGGCTTATCTTAAAATTTTAGTTTTTCCATTTTATAAGGCTTAATTTGATTGTTCCCCATCACATGTTCAGATTTCAAGGTGCATTAAATCATTGCATGCAAGTATTAAGAGAAAATTAACCAATGCATGTATTTTATGCAGGCATGCATTGCAATTAATACATTGGTAAACATAATTTTTTGAGGAAAACAAAAGCATTAATTGGGTGCTTTTGCAAATTACAAAAAGTATTTCACCACTCATCATCTACCTTGGTTGGTGAGACTTTTGAATTGAGACTTTTGAATTGAGCCCTATAAACCGACAGTGGCGTAGCTAGGGGGTGGCCAGGGTGGTCCATGGACCATCCTGAAATTTCTCCATAGATTGTATATAGTGCAGTAAAAAAAGTATTTCTTTAAAATTAAATAAGCTTATGTAAATGTTTCTATCAATGAACCATGGTGTCTTGGGTTGGCTACGCCACTTTAAACCGGAAAGGAGGGAATATATGGTATTGGCTAGATTAGTGAAATTTTAATGAAGTAAAAACACTCTTACCATTAAGAGTTACGATTCCGCAGGTAAAGGATGGGTAACCATCAGGAGAGAAGCCTGCTCACCATTGAGCATGAGGAATTGTTGATCTTGTAGCATCACATTTGAAGGTTAAGGCCAACTCCAACGCTAGACCCCATCCGACCGTCCGCTTTTGTTCGTTTGGGATGCGATTTGGCGGACATCTGGGGAGAGGACAGGCGTACACGCAGAAGGCCTTTGGGACCCAAAAACGGCCCGGTCCGCCTCGCCCGAGCTTGCCATTCTGTCTCGCCCGCGCGCACCCCGAAGCCCCGCCGCGAGCTCGCCGCCGCCCTGCCGTGCGTGCCTCGCGCACGCACCGCCTCGCCCCAGGCCGCGCTGAGCCGCGCTCGCCCCTGGCCGTGGTGCTCATGGCTGCACCGTGCGTGGGCGCGCCACGCTGCGCGCGCCCCGCC